TTTTAAAAATAACAATAAATTATTTTTGGTCTTTTTCACTGAACATTTTAATAAAAATTCAAGCTGTAGCCTGTAGCATTTAAGTGTTTTTCCTTTTAATTCCTTACAAGTTAGGTAATAAATGCAGCATGAAAAAGTTTAAGCGAAAGTTAAAATAAAAACTTACAAAAATTTATTAGAGAAAACATGTCATAAAAGGGCCAAATACTAATTATGACTCTGGAATATTGTTATGGTTCTTCCATTCTTCTTTCTCCTGCACGCTTTTAAATTCTATAAAAATAAAAAAATGGAAAACAGAAAAGCGACGCCGTGGAAGTCTTGTTAAGGGACACTATCTTCCCCAGCGCGCTTTGGTTTCGAACCTAAAAACATCTAAATTTACGTTGGAAAATTCCTGTGTGTTATTAAACTTCAAGTTCTCTCCTTTCGATCATCATGGAGGTGGGGGAGTCGTCTTGCGCAAAGTCAAAACCCTCTTCGGAAATCTGGGCTAAGCTTGGTACTTCCTCTTTCCAATGTTTGGTTGCTAAGAAAATGCATTAGAAAAGAAAAAAGGAATCACCTTTACTCTGCCCATTGTTTCCAACTAAAAAAAGTTGTTATCTTTTCCCGTTTTGTTCTTCGGTTGTGTCAATTGCATTTTTATTTGGTCTTCAAAGGGTCAGAATTCGTAATATGGTTAATTTTTTTTTTTTTTTTGGCCGAGATAATATGGTTAATTCGTAATATGGTTAATGAATTTGGGTTTTTTTAAGTTCTCTGAGAAATTGGGTTTTTTAGTTTCAGAACTGGGGAGACTCTTTGGTCTTATTTTTTGGTCTTACATTGTTGTACTTGTTGGGAAATGGGTTTTCCAGTTCTCTGAGAAATAGTGAATTGCAACTCAGCATTGTTTTCTGAAAAAACAGTTTTTAGAACTAAGGGGAAAAATAGTTTTTAGAACTGGAGGCTCTTAGGTCTGTCTTGGTTTGCGTTATGAGCAATTTTCTTATGAAGTGCTTGGATAAGTGTTACCCTCCAAAGCCCTTAATGTTAAACCTTTGTTATAATCATTTCTGGACATTGATCACTTTCTAGTACCATAAAAAACAATCTTTGAACATGTTTTATGACACTTGAAAGAAAATGCTAGGTTGTGAATTGGATTTGGCCTTTGCCTTGTACAAAGTAGTAATGTGGACAAAGATAAGTTCTGATTTGAAATTTCTTTAAAGGCAAAGCACTTTGGGTATTGTCTGATATTTACTTGCTGCAGTATCCTTGGATTCAAGATATGAAGATGTCGAGATTAGCTCAAACGAAGTTGTGATAAATTCAGAAACCAAAAGCTCTTCTCATGAAAAGCACGACTGGTGCAAAATAACAAGGAATCCAGATCAATTTTCTGCCACAATGCAAAACAAGAGGTAGTTTGCAATTTTCTTACTAATCTATCTTCAATTCTTTTATGTTTCTGAAATTTTCAAGTCATGCAAAATAGTTTCAATTTGTTGGTGAAACATGATAATATGATCTATATTTAAATGTGTCTTCTTAACCAGCCATCAAGATACTCTGTATCTTGATTTGGACATTTATTTGCCTCTCTTTATGTTGAATGTTGGGTATCAATACAGTTCAAATGTAATATTGGTCAATGATGTTGTTGTCCAAAGTGAAGATGTTGTTGACATCAAATGTGGAGCTGAAGTAATTGCAGGGCCTAATAAAGAAGGTTAGCATTAGCATTGATTTGATGCCCAATATTTTCATAACTTCTAGTTCATTTTTATATTATCTTGAACTTCTGCTGCTAAATTTTATGTGAAAAGTTAAAGCCTGTATTCCTTTTTTTAAAATGTGTTGTTGACTCTTATATGGATGCAAATTATTTGTTCCATAAAATTGCTGATGAGTATAGTTGCTGGTTATCCAGTAATGACACTGTATTTCTATCTTCCTTTCCTTTTTTTTTTTTTGGTAATTTTCTTTCTTTCTTTTTCTTTTTTGAATTTTAAAGGAGATTTTTAGTATAATCTTTTACCTGAATTTACTGCATTTTGAGAAGTACCTTCTGCTCATTATTAGAGGAAATAGAGGAAGCATTTATACATGCGAAGACAATTGCATGTGGACTTGTGTCCTTGCAACCTAAGTAATCCCTCCTTGCTAGATACCAGGTAAATTGTGTATTTTCTTGCAATCCTGGGGTTTGAGATTATGTGAATGGGGTGATGGCAAAGGGACAGATAAGAAGAATCATGCACTGGGATCCTTGCAAAATGCATGGTAATTTAGGTTAGGGTTGGGTTGGTTGATTTTTTTGCAACGCTTAGGCTTGGGATTATGTGAATGGGGTGGCTAGTATGACTGTAGAGTTTGCAGGGTTTGGATTAAAAGAAAAAAAGGGTGAATGGGTGTAGTTTTGTGGTGAATAATAATTGAAAATACAGTTGCAATAATAGAGAGAGGGTGAGAAGTGGGAGCAATAACTTATCTCTCCATTTATTTTTCATAAATCCAAATACACGTAATTTGAAATGAAAACCTCCTAACCTATGAATAGTATATAACTATCTGTCAGGATGCTTAGACTATATACATTTATCTATTTACAATTTGAATTCAAAAGTAGGATACTAAATCACTGATTGATTATATTTAAAATTAACCAAATGATATTAACACTGGGCATAGATGGGGTAGAAATTACAATTTTTTCTCTAAACATTAATTAATTAGGTTCTTCAAGGGTTGCATCACAGACTGTTTTTCTACTCATAAAATGGATTCCCTATTTTGCTTAGACTGAGAGGTGAAATCATACAAGAAGGAATAAATAATTAGGTTCTTCAATGGTTGCATCACAGACTGTTTATGGGTGTATACTCCTTAGTCTCCAGCTAAAATTCAAGGAGGTTATAAGCATGTTTCAGCTTTTGGAGGTTCAAAATATTCTTGTTGACTGGCAAGTTCTTAAGCCCTAAATCATTCCCTTAATTACTAATGGGATGGCAGGGTTGCTGTAGATCTTAACTTTAAGTCTTGCAAATAAAAATAGGAAAAAGAAAACATGACAAAAGTCTTGGTTTGTTGAAGGAAAGATTGAAATTATATATAAAGGTGTAAGTTTTGCAATGAGTGCTTGTTGGTTAATGTTATTTATTCTTGATGCTTCTAGGATATTTGAGCTACAAATTCAAAGTAATGTGCAACCAAGAATCCAGCAAGCAGAACTTAAAGGTGAATAATCATTAACCATGTGATGTATTTCTTTTTGTATGCTTCTGCATTTGTAGGTTTACTGACAAATAACTCCTCTGCTGTTTTACTTTCAGATAAGTATAGATATTGAGCATGCAAAATGCAGCATCTGCTTGAATATATGGCATGATGTTGTTACCATTGCCCCTTGTCTTCATAGCTTCTGGTTTGTAATTTGCTTATGCATTCATTCATTTGGCAATAACTACTTAATTCCAAATTTGATTCAAAAGCTACCTTTCCTTTTGTTATTTTCAGCAATGGATGCTTCTCGGAGTGGTTAAAGAGATCACAGAAGAAACAAAGAGGTGTGCTCTGTCCGCAGTGTAGAGCAGTTGTACAGTTTGCTGGAAGAAATCATTTTCTGCATAACATTGAGGAGGTAATGTGTTGAATTAATGTAATTTGAAAGTTTTAAGGGTTTAGAGCTTGCATTTGCCTTCATTTTTTTTTTTTATCACGTTGATTATTACTATACTGCCATCTGTATTAATTGAATGATCTTTTTCCATCTGTTTCCTACAGGGGCCAGTAGATATTCTTTTTAAAGTACTCAGACAATCTTATGTCTATTAGTCTATGATTATGAAAGTTTTTATCTATTTTGTGCTTGTATGTATTTAATTTTCTTTCAGAAAAATAATGTGCTTGTCTTTTGTTTCCATATTTATGAATACTTAAATGTTTTGAATGAAATAAATGCTTTTTTAGGGCTTACTACAAGCTGATCCTTCACTAAGACGTTCTGATGAAGAAGTTGCAGTTTTAAATTCCTATGCAACTATAAAATCAAATCTTGTGAGTTATTGCACCCTCTTTGAATATATATTATATTAGCAGTTAAAAGAGCTTAAGCCTTTCTTAAGCGTCCTTTTTAATTGTTGCACATCCACTACATGTATTAGGTCATTAGGAGTGGGGAAAGACAAAATAGAAAGAGGGCACGTTTTTTTATGGATGTGAGAAGTGACAGTGAAGATGGTAATGTGGACATTGATGGTGAGGAAAGTGATGATGCAGGGTCTCATTGCCCACAATGTGGTAAGATTTATAGCTTATTAAGGTCATTGGAAATTATATACTTTAATTGGTGGATGTGCATTATGTAATGTATGGCCCTTTTTTTTTTTTCATTTGACTTGAGTTTCATTGAATTTCTTTAGGTATATTACTTCCATTTTAACCATTTCGTTTTTAAGAATATTCTCCTCTTTTTTTTTTCCCTAATTTTTGGTAATTCATTGTTTGGTCTTGGTTTAATTAGTTCAATTATTATTTTTAGGCACTGAGATTGGTGGATTCCAGTGCAACCCTAACACCATCCATTTACAATGTCAAGCTTGTGGAGGAATGATGCCTTCCAGGGCTGATATTAATATACCACAGCACTGTAAGAATTAGTATCTTTGTGTGGATTTCTAGTGCATGTAACGCTAATGTTGTTCCATGATCCTTCTTCCTTTTCTCTGTTACATTGCATGACACTAAGGAGATTGCTTGATCATTTCTTCCACTTTAAATAACTGGTTATATCCAATTAAATAAAAAAGTCCTATAATTAGTGTCTAATTGGATGAAGTACTTATACATTGGTTTTTGAAGTTCCAGCTCAAGTTCTTTGCAATTTAGATTTTCAACACTCTTGTAGGTTTGGGCTGTGATAGAGCATTTTGCGGTGCATACTGGCAATCTCTAAGGCTTACTAGAAGTGACATTCAGCTTGTATGCAGTCAAGAAACATTCAAACCGGTATATGCTGCTGATTTTATGACTGTGTTGAATTACATTGACTTGATTTCTAGTGTCTCTTTGTTCTTATTTCTTTGGCTTTCTATTTCTTTTTAATATATTACAGAATGAACTGCTGGTTCAAGTAGCTATTACTATCTGTCAATTACACTATTTAAACTTTCATGCAGATAAGAAAGGAAATAATCTATATATTAGGATTATATTGTAATTACGAGTATATTGGAATTAATTTGTAACATTTATCCAGTAATTTATATTTATTAGGATTTGTTATTATCTTTCAATAAAGATTCTAAGTAGGATTCTAACTAGGAATCAAGTCTAATTAGGGTTTTGGGTTTTCTATTTAATGGTTTAACCATAGGTTGTATAAAGGTTATTGAGTTGAATCGAAGAAGTCTTCTAAAAATCCCCAATTCTGCCGTTCTCTCTTCACCCTGGCCTCTTTCTAAATTCTCTTCTCACCTTTTCTTCTGTTCTACATCAAACTTAAAAGGCAAGAAAATACTACCATGGCATGGCTTATTTTACTTGGCATCTATTAACTGGCTAACCTATTGCTGATAAAAAAAAAAAACAAAAGGCTAACCTATCATCTAGGTGCGGTATGTTTCACTTTATGTGATCCAGAAAAGTGGTATCTTACCATTTTTTTATCATCAAGTTCTTGCTTGAGAGGTGTTCTCCTTTAAAATTTAATTTAATCAAACCTTTTGAAGACAGTTGTATCATGGCATTGGGCAATCACTATTGTATTGTGATTCCTGTGTATGGAATTCATTGATTTATATGTTTTGCAGATAGCAGAACGGACTATAAGTAGAATTCCAGTGCAGGCACATGAAATGAATCAACATGAACAAGATGTATGATGTTTTGTATTTTGTCCCAAACAAACTATTCTTCGGAAAAAATAGTTTAATTTGACCAATATTTAGGATTTTGTAGATCACAGATAGGTGTATCAGACAGGCAGGGAGGACCTTGCAGGATGTTATTGCAGATTGGATTAGAAAGCTGAACAATAGAGAAATTGGTATGTTGGTGCTCTTGATATTTTGCTAAATCATCAAATAGCATATTCTTCTTTCGATTTTTCGTGATGCTATGACATGTCATTAGTCATTACCAAGATCAGGACTTCTGCAGCTCATAAAATGAGAAAGATTTAACAATAAAATGTTATTTATAATGAGATAATTGTCTGGTATAATATATATCATTCTGAAAATGCCTCTGACAATAGCCTTATATAAGTTAAATTTTCTTGTCTGCAGATAGAACAAGGCTGCAGCTGAATCATGCTGAGATGATAACAGCTGGGACGCATCTTTGCAAGTAATTTTTATTCCATGTTTTATCTTGTTTTATCTTGCATTCCAAGCTTTCTGTACTAGAGTTTGTCCATAGCATCCACTTGTCTTTAAATTGCTGAGTTCTATACTATGAGAATTGGTTCACACTTGGCAGAATGCCATCATCACTGTTTTCCTCAATATTCCTTCTTCCATGCAATGTTCCTTAGTTGAGCTTAGGTCAATGACCAACAGCCAATACCATTGCCCTCAGCCTTATACTGTCTCAAGTCCATAATAGATTTATCATATGTTTGACATCTAAGATTCTTCTTTTCAATGCTTAGGATGTTATTCACATTCTTTGGATTATAATAATTTTCTGTAATGAAGTTCTGCTTCAATTTTCTCTTTGCTGATCTGAAGCTTAACTGTCTATGTTCTGTAAATGCAGCAACTGTTATGAAAAGTTGGTCGCTTTCCTTCTGTATTGGTACAGGATTTCATTGCCCAAATATGTAAGTCTTTCGAGTTTCCCATGCAGTAATTCTTGTTACCAAAGCTTTGTAGAATTTCATTGTAAGATGTTATAACAATTGAATGACTTTAAGCATTTAATCCTTGGATTCATGAAGTATGCGGGTTGAATGTTATTCAGTAAAAGTGCCCGTTAACGAAACTGATTTTGAGCCATCTGTTTCTTCTTTCAGAAAATTGTGAAGAGTGCTTTTGATCTGATCCTTATTCAAGAAATCTTCTTACATGGATTGATTCTAACAAACTATCTTGACTGGTTGCTGTTACAGCTTTTGCCCTCAGATGCCAAGCAAAGGGAAGATTGCTGGTATGGATATGCATGTCGGACGCAGCACCATAGTGAAGAACATGCTCGTAAGAGAAATCATGTGTGTCGTCCAACTCGAGGCAACTCCTAGAAATTAGTTTGTGATTTCTACTAGGTGGAACTCAAGATATTTGGAGATAATTACGTTTATAATGGGTTCTTTCTCCTTGCTTAGTCTCGCCTCATTTAGAGACCATTGCGTTCATTCTTTGCCTATAATACTTCTGGCTAAACAGTCTTAATCAAAGACAGGGAATCCTCATTTTGAAGTTCTTGGTTTGTTGTGGCGGAGAAAAAAAAATTATTGGTTTGCTACTTTATCTAATTACTCCCCTCTCTTTTAGGGGTTATTATTATTATTATTATTATTAACTCTCAATACTCAAAAATTATATTGGATTTTAATTAATTTAAAGTTAAATCACGACGGATTTTATAAACAAAAATTTTTCTAGTGTTTATTTTTTTATTTATAAAATTTGAATTCAAGTTCTTTATTAAGAGAAATTAAATCTTTTTTTGTTATTGAATCAACAAGTTACTAGTCTTTTTAACTTGATTTAGATACTTGAAGAAATGTGTTTCTGCAGTTGGGGTTGTGCTAGACCAGTACAGTCTAGAGTGAGAGAAGGTAAAAAATGAAACGGTAGACTAATGGATTAGAATATTTTTCATTTTTAAATGAATTTATAAGTGATTTAAGTTTATTAATGAATTCTCATGTTTTAAAATTTTTGAAGTTTGGTTTAAATGAGAATAAAATTGATTTCATTTTATATATTATGAATGATAAACTATCAGTTTGCGCCCAAATCCAAGAGATTTAGAAGCTATT